AAAACTTTTTCCTTCAAAAAGTGCAAGTACGAAAGATGTAATAATTGAACATAGTGTGTTTATATTAGTTGATGACCACACATTTACAAAGTATGTTTTCTTTTTGTTTATCTTTACCCATGATGCAATGTGTGAAAAGAATGACAATGTTTGTATAGTACGTGTAATTTTGGATCCATGATGATAACATCTAGTTTTGGCTTGTGGAATCGTTTACTAAGTTCAAAAATTTCCCATCCTTACTCTGTAGTCACCAAATGATGGGCAACCCTTACCTTTTAAACATGTGTTTTATGCCTGTTCACTCAATGGCTTATATAACCATGTAGTGGTCGATATCTGGAAGTGATTGCATTTGACAAGTTGGTTGGTATCATTGTAGATCTGTATGTTTTCAATTCTTGATAGGAAAACATTGCGTTGAAAGAAACAAATGAAGAACTGAATGCACAGATCATACATAATAGTCTACAGTTGGGGAAACAGTTATTGGGTGTCAGCGTATGTAAATCAGATTCCTTTGCTGCTGAAATTGAAACTGCATCTAAAGATGAGGTGAGTGACATTTCATGGTGTATCTATCAGGACTACCAGCGGAAATTCACGATAAATAAATTTATAAAGTCAGTCTTTGTATTTTGTCAGATGGGACCCCGAACATGTGAATAGTTCTATCAAATAAATGAACAAAGATAGCAAATAGTAGGGAATAGCTGACTTACTTTCCATGACCTTATGCTTTTCATATTGTGCTGTATTAAGTACTACTGCAGCGACCATTTTAAATTGATAATTGATAACAATTTTTACAACTGAGATTATTTAAAAGCAGCTAATTTTTTTGTAGAATGAACACAAATATTGAAATTGAATTCAAGGGTGCATTTTTTGATAATTCAAAGTGACTTAAGGTGCATTCTTTATTAATAAAGTTTGTTATTTTCCAGATTATGGCTGCTTTGAAAGAAGAGGAGCAGATGAACCGAGACCTGAAGGAGTACATTGACAGGATTCTTGTGAGAATCATAGAAAACAACCCGTCCTTATTAGAAATTAATCCATGTGGGAGTCCAAGATAAGTCAATCCTTCACCCCCTACAAACTAAACAGACAACCAATGAAATTGGTTGTCTTGGAACACCAGCCAATGAAATCAGACGTCTTGGAACAACAGCCAATGAAAATCAGTAGTCTGGGTTATTCCAATATTATTCAGGGGTGTATAAACTTAAATTTGAGGTGCAATTTTGTTGGTAATTTCCAATACTGCCAAGACTGGACTAACTCACAACAGAGATATGCATCTTCTCAATGAAGTGATGAATG